CTTGAGACCCCTGTGTTCTGTTCCATTCTTGCTCTCCGTTTTTGAATGCAAAAATGCGTTTACAAGACCTTACCAAAATACATTTCTTCAGACTCACTTTCTTTCCCGTTCCCAGTGGATGAGTGATGCCTGGCAGTACCCTCACAGCATGGTACAAGGTCACTTTCAAAAACGTCCATACACTGTTTAATATCTACCCAACATAACTAATACAGCATATTCTTACAATGCCCCAATCTGAGATGATTTGTCAATAATATCTTAAAATCTCTGATTCACACACACACACACAAAAATAAAACCAGCCGTGCATTTTACATATACCAGTACTTTACAATGTAAACTTGCATTTCATTTTACAAATCATTTTAGTAGACTTTGTTCCATAATGGCCGGACACTTGCTTGTAACAACCTGAGATCAAATGAATGCATGATGTGTCAGCTGTGTCAGGATTAAACTTCACCCTGCTTTTCTCAATATTTGTCAAATGACTTTGATTCATATGATACGTAACCTGCATGTCATGTTTTGTATTACATTATTATTATTGTTTTAAATGATCAATGTGGTTTTTAAGAACGTTTTTATAAAATGACTTCTGTCATGACAACTTTCTCTCTCTCTCTCTCTTTCTTTACCTCTCTTTCTCTTTCTTTCTTTCTTTCTTTCTTTCTTTCTTTCTTTCTTTCTTTCTTTCTTTCTTTCTTTCTTTCTTTCTTTCTTTCTTTCTCTCTCTCTCTTCTCTTTGCGTGTGTGGTGAAAAACAACACTCTCAGCAAAGCGACGGCGAGTCGTGTGCCTTCACGGTACATCAAATACAGGTACGCTGTGTATAGTACAGATCGCTTGACGGAGAGCAAAACTTTCAAGCGCGAAAACAGGCAGAGGATACAGGAGGAGGTTCTGGAGGAGGATGGCTGACCAGGAGGAGGCGGAACTGAAGGGTCCAGGGCTATACTGAAGGTGATGAGAGCCAGAAAGAAAAGCCCTGCCTGGGCCAGACTGCTGCCACCATGGGGACGGCCGGAGGCAATGACGGTGGAGTAGGAGCCCACCGCATAGTCGAAGGGCTGAGGTGATGGAGAGACAGCAGGCAGTGAGCCTCAGTGACGACCTCCCGCGATAACGGTGTGGGCCCGGAGGTTAGAGGGCGAGCTGGAGCGACCGAGGGCGGTGGCGGAGCCTGAGGGTGGGCTAAGTGAGCTGGGTGCCCAAGCCCACAGCACAGATGTGGCGAGGTTGAGACTGGAAAGTGCAAAATAGTCCAATGATAAAGGCTAAGTCCTCTAGAGTGGGAGGCTGGGTGGGACTGACAGGACAGATGAAGATTGTCTTAACTGAAGGTCCGAACTTGGTGCTGCCAGAGTCTCAGTGGCGGGAGGATAGGCAGGGCTCTTTTCCTTGCCCTCTGATTCCACAATGGCTTCCTCGGCGGTGGATGGTGCAGCCGGCATGTGCACCTTGTCAGACTCGCGCATCTCAGGCTCCACTTCGATGTTGGGCTCACACGTCCCCGATGGCGTTGGCTCGCTTCTCGTGGGGGAGAAGGGCTCGATGTCTGCGGTGGGCTCAAACTGCTTTAACTTAACAGATGGGTTCTGGCTGGGCACTGGGTTTGGAGTGGGGCTGGTGACATCATCAACGGTGAAGGATGATCCACAGGATACCAACACCCACTACACAAAGGCAGCGAAGCTCCTTTGAGAAGCCTCCCCGGACAACTGGGCTCGTGTGGCTGTGTTGAGGCCAACACGAAGAAATGTGCAGAGGCAGTCGTCCGGGAAGGTGGTCTGATGGTCCAAATCCAAGAATTCCTCCAGGTGTTTCTCGAGGGAGCGTTCTACTTGCTCAAGGCATAGTAGCTTTACAGCAAGGAAGCCCATGATAAACTTAAAAAAAAAGAAACTACATAAAACACGAACTGGAGACGGAACAAAAATGCAATGAATCGCCGCGTCTATTTTCACTTTTGGGTCGTTTTTTTCTGTCACGGGTTGTGAGGTGAGACGCATAGATGAGAACTGGCAAACACACACAATACTTTTTTGTGGTTATAAATATTAAGAGTTATAATGATGATTTTTAGGATGATTTATAACACACAATGAACACAATTTTATCCACAGTTATAATAGATTATATATCCCATAGTTTCATATATTTTACTTTCCCAAGTCTCATATCTTAACATTGTTTACTTAAGACCTGCACAGTAGAATACTTCATATTATGAGTGGTCTTTTACTGCTTAAAGTAAAGTGATACAAACAAAGTCTTATTTTAAACATCTAAAAAGATTTATGATGTGGTCTTAATATTTATAAGTGGTCTTTGTTTGCTTAAAGTAAAGTAACAAAAGCTACTGTAAGTATTATTTTAAATAGCCATAATATATCATGAAGTGGTTATAAGACATTTCCCTTAAGATAAAATCAAAGTTTTGTGGAAAAGTACAAAAGAACGATACATTCACAATGCAAATCATGTTTTATTCATAAAAACTGTAAAATTACAATGCTTTACCAAATCTAATAAGTAGGTAGGTATTATTACTGTTGTTACCATTATTCATGAGATAATAAAACACATTATAATGTTGTTTATAAGGCATTATGCGTGCATTATAATGCATTAAGAATTCCCTTATGATGCATTATCAATGCAGGCTTCATCATAATGCATTGTACTCTTAAAAGTTATAACCACAAATAGGTAAGTATTATAATACATTGTAACTATTGTTATGATTATTTATCAGATGATACAACACGTTATAAAGTTGTTTATAAGGCATTATACATGTATTATAATGCATTAAGAATTCTAATATAATGTATTATAAATACAGGCTTCAAAAGAAAGTGTTACCTAATAATCTAGTGAAACCTATAATATATTTAGTCAAAAATTACAATCAGAGGGAAAAAGATACAAACAATATATAACAAATCCACACAAATGGAAGACTTTAAGAGCTGATGACAGCAGACAGGAGCTGAGGTGTTGTGCGCCCACTTTCATTTCCTCCTATTTCCTCTACGTCTCGTCTACATACCTGCGGTGATCACCCATCTGTTCACATAATTAGCCCAAAGCGTGATCTAATTACCATTGATAAACATCCCAGAGTTCTTCTCGTTGACAGCAGTCAGCTTAGAACTGATCTACATGTCTTATGATAGAGTCTGAAGAGCTCTATATAGAACCAAGTGATAGAGTTAAAGTCAACATGAACCAACTAGAGTTGGGGATTTTGATTCATACCAGTAAATCTTCTGAAACCGTTCACTAAATTTCATTCAAATTTTGTTTATATTCGTTCAGTGATTTGTTCAATTACCCTTCCTTCAGGTTACACCACTATGCCAGTAGTTGGGGACAAGTGAGTGTGTTATAGGTGAGTCATTGAATAATTCACTCAAATGATTTGATATAAAAAAAAAAATTTGAATGTTAAAAGTTCAAATCTACTACGTGTCCCGGTCAGTTCATGTTAGGTTTCACAGTCATGTTCTGTTTACTGTCATGGTTTATGTGTTACCATGGTTTTTGATTATTTGCATACCTGTTCCTTGTTTCTTTGATTGCCTGTCCCACTGTATTCAAGCCCTCTGTTTCCTCAGCTCAGTGTTCTGCTTTAAAGTAGATGCAAATGTGTAGTGTTCTCGCTCTTTGTGTTTATTACAGTCTATTCCATCAGTCATTCTGATTCACGCATCTCTTTATATTGGATTTCACCACACATTGATGACTTTTCATTAGACCCTTGTACACAATATTCAGTTTATTCAAAAATAAGATGTTAGGTAGCCTTGATTTTGTGAGTTGGGAATTAATTGGATGGTTAAAAGTGGTCAATGTGACAAATGGTTTGAGGGGAAGTGGTTCAAAAAATGATATCAGGCAAAAAGTAAAGTTGTTTCAGAGTCACTAATTTTTCATGAAAGACTGCAAAGACCTGAGGGAAGAACACAACACTACACTATGTTAATGTATTTATCTGACAAAATAATTTGACCAAAAAAAAAAAAAAATCAGACCGAGCACCATAGCATGCTTGTGGTAGCCAATCAGCAGCAGGGGGTGTATACACTCATGATGAGGGAGGAGAAAGAGTGAGTAAGAGGGAGATTTAAAGAAAGACTTTAGAAAAAGAGATGGCTGAGAGACATTACAAAAGAGAAAAGGTCAGAGCAATATTACTAGAAAAACAATGGTTATTATCACACTGTAAAAAAATTGCTCTAAAAAACGGACAAATTCTAACAGTGTTTTTGCTGTAGTAATTTCCTGTGTGATTTTAATTTCCAATCTATTTTAAGGTTTCAGTTTTGACCAAAAATGAATAAGTAATAAGCTGTAAAGCAATTTCACAGTATCCATACCGTAGAATTACAGTAGACCACTGGTAGTATTGTACTGTTATTTTACAGATAAATTGCTTACTGTACCTTTAATTACTAAAGCAAATACAGAACTGTAAAATAAAGTGTGACTTAAAAGATGATATAAAATCATTAAAAAAAATAAAATGCTTATGAATTTTATTTTTTAATGTTTGGTAGTTGAATGCTCTAATTCTCAGAGTACACCTCCCATTCACATGAAATCAGATTCTACGCAGATCGTGCTATTATGTCTAATTCATCTGTACACATTATAAAGAAAAAATATATATATTATCATTTAGTCTTTATTAAGACATGCATAATGGCTTTATAATCTTTCATTAAAATATAATATGCAACTGCCTCTCAAGACACTATTTTTTTTTTTTTTGCTGACTTCCACTCTGGAATGAAAGCTCATTTTTCACATCCTAATCAAATCCCAATGGATAACATCAAGCCTCGCTCCATTTATCTCTCTCTCTCTCATTGAACATCCCATTTCACTCTAAAATACTGTAGGCCTATGTGACATTATGGAATTGAGAGTTGCGAACATAGTTTCATGTCATTTTAAGAGCAGTGGTTATGAGAATATACAAGTCTCACCGTTGTAGTTTTCACTCTGCCGCTGGGCTGTGTACAAGTCCAGCCTGATTTATTTACTAACAGGTCACAGCCTTCATCCTCTAGACAGGGGACCATCTCACACCACTGCCTGGTCTTCACAATACGAGCTGTGGATCAAGACCAGAGAAAAGGTTAAGATGATATGATTAGGAAGTCAAGCACAAACACAACAATAACCCCCCCCCCCCCCCCCCCAAAGCTTCTGGACAATGTATGAATGTCTTTGTATTAGATGACAAAATAAGAAACCCACTGTAATTTATTTGAAATAAAGCACATGTTTCAAGAAAACAAAATACTGTTTGTGAGGTTAGAAAAAGTATTGTGACACTTTCTGTTTGATAAACAGTATAGTGGAACATATCCATGTCAAGCCAATCCAAGGGCTAACTGACTTCATATATCCAATATAAATCACAATGCTTGGTAATCACACAACACCAAATATATGGTAAAATATCTGAACCTTTCAGACTGAATGCGTCACTTTTGATTCACTTTTAGTTATTTAGCTTCAAGCATGTGTCAAAAGATTTCACTTTTCAACCCTAGCTGTCCCTGCTAGTCAAGTATAAAAGAGTAACACACTAGTGTTGTGGATGATATAAAATGAGACATCCCCCTATGGAAGCATCTTGTGCTACATGAGCATGAGAAAGGAAAATTAGTTTAATTCGAAAGGATGGTCATTAGTTTAAAGAAATTAGGTTCATCACAGATTTCTCGAGTAGATGTATTTGAGGTTCATCATGGACAATCACTTTTATATAAAATTAGGTCACTTTAACATGCATTAGCATTAGTCCCTTGGGAGAGACAGTGGTTCCTGTTTCACAGGACAATACAGAGCTTATTTATTTAGACAGTACAATCATACAGCCATTGCTTTAGAAACTTATATTTCAAACTTCACATGCCCAACATGTATGTTATGTATGCAAAAAGGTTTACATAACATAACTATAACAATGGCCATGTATAATTTACTTTAGATCCGAAGCAAAACATGTAAGGTTTCAGGAAATATATTAATAAAAACAGTATGTTTATGAAATAGTTGGATATGAAATGTCATGCCTGATATCTTTTAGATCCTGAAATTATAAATAATATATTAGTTATATAATACTTATATATACTGTAATTTCAGAAATGATATATTTATTTTGAGTATTAGCAAAGTATTAGTGTACATGTGTAAATCTCGATCTTCCTTCAAAATAGCTGGGCTTGAACATATGCTCATTTCTTCCCGTGAATAGTCATATATTAGAAACATTATTTTTTTCTTTCTGCAGCTTTAAAGATGGAAGATAATTAATTCAGTCAAGTTGTTGTCCTCTGTTCCGTTTAATTGACAGAACATCATAACATTACATCATGTGCATACCCAAACGTAATTGCCCTCCACTACAGATAGTTATCTTCATACAATTCAAAATGTCTGATCCATTTCCTGAAAGATGAAATCACATCTGTCAAGGCTGCATTAACGGATATTTTTCTGTTGTGTTTTACAATATTTATTCTTATATGGCTCTTGCCATAATGCATTTTTGAGAGCAATATTTAGAGGCAGGAAGAGAACTAGAGTAATCAGAGCACAGGATAATTACCTGCTGATTTGCATTTTTGCCATTGAAGACTCTTTTGCAAATTTCAGATGCCACGGGGAGACAAAAGGTGGCGCAATCAGGCCTAATTGTAGGTTTAATGGAGGAATTCAATGCGGCAGTAATCAAGACAGCTGAGCAGCTTAAAACGTTTGCTTCGGTGATGTTCAAATCTAGCTATGAATTGCCGAATTATCATTTTACACATCTACACAGTACATTAGACTAACAAGCAACCAAAACAGCAAACAAAAGCGATTTGCATGAGTCATGGCAAAAACACATACAATGATTCAGAAATGCAGCATGATGCCATTTAAAGCATGACTTTCTTTTTTCAGAATTTTCATGGATCACAAAAGAAGAAACTTTGAATAATGCACAGGTCACTCTTTTCCATACAATTACAATAAATGGGGCCTTTAGCTTTTAGAGCTTGACCTTTATCCCACAATGCAATGTGCTCAAACCTCCAGTGTGATGAATGAAATCATACTTCAAAAGAACAATCGAGAGTTGGATGCTATTTTTCAGCCAATCAGAAGAATTTGAGGTACTCTTTGCCTGACATCCATTTTGAGTGTTTGGGTTTGATGTCTTTAGAGGGGCTGAGATTTTAGGTAACACTTTATTGTAACATGAATGTGACTTTACATGTAACAGTAAATTATGCGTAATTACAAGCAAACTAACCCTAATCATAACCTACATGTTAAATAATATCACTCAGTAAATGTGTAGTGTTTGTGTAGTTACATTGTTGACAGTGTCATTCTAAAATAAAGTGTATCCATATTTTAGAGGGGGTGGGGGTAAAACACAGTTGCAAGAATATTTTTGTGATCCCTAGAATTCTGCACTGATTACTCATAACATGTAGTCTGATCTTAACCACACTTATATACCTTTTTTTTTTTAACTCCCAACTCCCAAATTGTGGTTATCCAAAAGCTAATTGGACTCCGTTAAGAAAATGAGATTGGAAGTAAGGGCTGCACAGATGCCCTACCTTTAAGATCAAGGCACACACTGACAATTCTGTTCTACTCAAAGACTGGTTAGTGTGAACCATGCCTCATATCCAAAGGCATTCACATGACCTTAAAAACACATTGCACAAAGCAGGTAAAGGCTATGAAATAATTGCTAAATACCTGTTAATCAATCAACTTTAAAATACCCATTTTAAATACCAATTCAATTTTTTTTACTACTCTCCCTAGGAGCAGGCATCCTGCAAACATCACTCTAAGAACACAACGTACAACCTTGAAAGAGGTGGGAAAGAACCATAGGATGACAGAAAAAGACATCCAGAAAACTCTGTGAAAGTCTTTACTGAACAAAAATGGTGTTCATGAAAGAACTGCTGCCAAAAAATATTGAGGCATGTCTCATGTTTGTCCATGAAAACCTGGGTGTTCTATAACACTCCTGCAAATCTTGTTTGGACATCTGAGACAAAAGTTGAACTTATTGGCAAAAAAATGGGCACTGCATGCACAACAACACCAAAAAAATCTCTTCTCAACTGTGAAGCATGGAAGTATCATGGTTTAGAGCTACTATGCTGCCTCAGGGTCTGGACACTTCACAGACATTGAAGGAACATTGAATTCAAAGGATTATCAATTTTTTTTTCAGGAGAACATTAGGAAAGTACTAAACTAAAGAATGACTGAAAAGTGGCTGAAGCCAATTGAGATGCTGTGGCATAACCCAAAGAGGACTGTGCTAACAAGACAACCCAGAAATATTGATGAACTGTGACCGATTTGTGGGGAGGGATGGTCCAAAATTGACAAGAGAAGCTACAGAAAACATTTGGTGGAAGTTTTGGTGCTAATGGAGGATCTACAGGTTTCTAGAGTTGGTTCCCTTACTTTCTCCAACCTGCACTGTGAATGATTATTTATTCAATAAAAATTTGAAAATAATACTGTTTGTGCATTATTTGTTACGTCAGATCGTGTTTGTCTATAATCGTGAGTAAATTAAGATCAGAACGCATTTTATGAATAATCGATGCAGAAATTCAGATATTTTCAAAGGGTTCACAACCTGTATGGTACTGTACTGTGAGCTGGACTTCACCTTTTATTTTTAGTGAGACAAATTAACTACCACTGATGTTATCTATCATGTATATATCGTGTAATGTCTTTCATTATTTGATCATTAATTAAAACTGTTAAGTTCACACTTGTACAGAAAGTCTAACAGTGGAAAATAACTGTATTTATTTCCAAGATACAACAAGTAGTGGTGTGACAATATCGTGTCACAATATATCGCAATACAAAAATGCAACAATATGTATCATGGATAGTGACAATATGTATTGTGTATAGTTCACCCAAAATTAAAATTACTGTGTGTAAAAAAATTCAAGTTTACGGAGTTTTAGTATCAGTACTACATTAAACTACTATAATGTATAATAATGCAATGGGGGAATATTTGTGGGTCCTGATAATGCCAAATGTCTGATGTCACCAGTAAAAAAATGGCCTACATTATTTTAAATATATGTCAGTGACAGACTGCAAGCATATTCGTCTAAAATAATTCAGTTTTTTTTAGCTTTAGAATCATGATCTTTTTAATTCTGGTGTCACTATTGTCCTGTGCATTGGGTTACCCCCACCAAGTCCAAGCCTATTCTTTTAATAATAATAATAATAATAATTCATCACATTTAGATAGCGCTTTTCTGGACACTCAAAGCGCTTCACATAGAAGGGGGAATCTCCTCAACCACCACCAATGTGCAGCATCCACCTGGATGATGCGACGGCAGCCATAGTGCGCCAGAACGCCCACCACACACCAGCTTACTGGTGGAGAGGAGACAGAGTGATCAAGCCAATTGGTATATATATATATATGGGGATGATTAGGAGGCCATGATGGACAGATAGACGGGGGGCCGAACGCTGCTATCTGCTTTAGTTTTTGAAATGATAGATCCTCGAGGATAGAGTAGCTGCTTTTTTCACATAAACTAAATAATTTTTTTATGAACACGTATCCGTTTGTTGGCAGTGTCAAGTCGATCATATTTTTTTGAAAACTAAATTTACGTTTAATAAACGGATGAGGCACACGCGAGGGAGTACTATACATCTAACCAATCAAAAACGAATTCTATCGTCACGTGACTAACGTCTGCCAATAGTATTCGTTCAAAATATAGTACCATTACCACGACTGTAGCGTAGCACATGCGTTCTCTAGCTAGCTAGATCCATGAGTTCACACCATAAAATCTTCTCTAATGAAATCTACACAATCAAACATTTTCCAGCAGGAATCCTATCCGAAGACGAGAAATATTAACAGCGGCATCCAAGATTCCAGGTGTAATGGCTCAGGTAAATACTGCTGTTTATACCTGTCTTATAACGTTAGCTTAGTGCATGAACTCTGTAAACCGTTAACATAATAGGTTATTCCGGATAATGTTTGTATTTACAGGTAACGTTAACGTTACA